CACACACACAAGCACAAACTCTCTCTCACACACACACACAAGCACAAACTCTCGCTCACACACACACACACGCACAAACTCTCTCACACACACAAGCACAAACTCTCTCTCTCTCTCTCACACACAAGCACACACACACAGTACACACACACACACACACAAACTCTCTCTCTCTCTCACACACAGTACACACAAGTACAAACTCTCTCTCTCTCACACAAACACACACACACACACAAGCACACAGTACACACAAGCACAAACTCTCTCACACACACACACAAACACGTACAGTACACACACACACACACACACACACACAAGCACAAACTCTCTCACAAACACACACAAACACGTACAGCACACACACACACACAAGTACAAACTCTCTCTCTCTCTCTCTCACACACACACACACACACACACAAAACTATATTTATTGCAGATGTTTATAAGATTGTAAGTTTCTAAATCAGCCTCTAGCTATTTTGTGAATATATTTTCACAAAAGTGAGAATCAGAAACCGGTCGATTCCACTGAAGAATAAAATAATCACAGATGATTAATATGAAATATGAAATAACAGACGACACACACGGCCTCCACGTCAGTATATCCAGTCGTTCAGTTTTAATACAAAGTCGACATATCTACATACATGATCTGAAATCAATAAGCAGAGAAAGTGAAACACTACTGTAGGTCAGCACACGGCCCACGTTCACTCGTCACACAGTCGTCTGATCAGATGTTGCTTTTGGTTCGTTTGTGTGCTTTCATCTCCAAAGGAACATTTCATGTTGAGAATAATTGATTGAGACGAGCAGCAGAATCTTGTCTCAGTGTGCTTTCATTCATGAAGAGAGAAAAACTGCAGATCAGCGTCTGCTTTCTTAGGATGAGCTGGTACTACGGTACAGTGATGCCACAGTTAATCAGCTGATGTTTGGTCATTATTGAGCTCATCAGCATCAGCTAACAACCACATACTGTGGCAGTTTTCGTTGGGTTTACCGCGGTGCATCACTGTACGGTACGGTACTGCACACTGTAGACCTGTGACGCTGATCTGAGGCTGATATCGTCTCTCTGGGCTCTTGAAATCTGCGTGTGCTTTAACTCGTTTAGTTTGACTGATAATGCTGATGAGAAACGTGTGTAATGTCTAAGAACACGTGCGTTTTGTTTGTGAAGGAGCGATACTTCACGACCGATTCGGTGAGGTTTGGGCTCCGGAGGGCCGCGGGCCGTCAGCTTCCTCTAGAACAATCAGTGCACAGTAAATATCAAGCACAAACTCTCTCTCACACACACACACAAGCACAGACACACACAACAGACACACACACACACACACGACACACACACACACACACACACACACACACAAGCACAAACTCTCTCTCACACACACACACAAGCACAGACACACACAACAGACACACACACACACACACGACACACACACACACACACACACACACACACAAGCACAAACTCTCTCTCACACACACACACAAGCACAGACACACACAACAGACACACACACACACACACGACACACACACACACACACACACACACACACAAGCACAAACTCTCTCTCACACACACACACAAGCACAAACTCTCGCTCACACACACACACACGCACAAACTCTCTCACACACACAAGCACAAACTCTCTCTCTCTCTCTCACACACAAGCACACACACACAGTACACACACACACACACACACAAACTCTCTCTCTCTCTCACACACAGTACACACAAGTACAAACTCTCTCTCTCTCACACAAACACACACACACACACAAGCACACAGTACACACAAGCACAAACTCTCTCACACACACACACAAACACGTACAGTACACACACACACACACACACACACACAAGCACAAACTCTCTCACACACACACACAAACACGTACAGCACACACACACACACAAGTACAAACTCTCTCTCTCTCTCTCTCACACACACACACACACACACACAAAACTATATTTATTGCAGATGTTTATAAGATTGTAAGTTTCTAAATCAGCCTCTAGCTATTTTGTGAATATATTTTCACAAAAGTGAGAATCAGAAACCGGTCGATTCCACTGAAGAATAAAATAATCACAGATGATTAATATGAAATATGAAATAAAAGAAGACACGCACACACACACACACAAGTACAAACTCTCTCTCTCTCTCTCTCACACACACACACACACACACACAAAACTATATTTATTGCAGATGTTTATAAGATTGTAAGTTTCTAAATCAGCCTCTAGCTATTTTGTGAATATATTTTCACAAAAGTGAGAATCAGAAACCGGTCGATTCCACTGAAGAATAAAATAATCACAGATGATTAATATGAAATATGAAATAACAGACGACACACACGGCCTCCACGTCAGTATATCCAGTCGTTCAGTTTTAATACAAAGTCGACATATCTACATACATGATCTGAAATCAATAAGCAGAGAAAGTGAAACACTACTGTAGGTCAGCACACGGCCCACGTTCACTCGTCACACAGTCGTCTGATCAGATGTTGCTTTTGGTTCGTTTGTGTGCTTTCATCTCCAAAGGAACATTTCATGTTGAGAATAATTGATTGAGACGAGCAGCAGAATCTTGTCTCAGTGTGCTTTCATTCATGAAGAGAGAAAAACTGCAGATCAGCGTCTGCTTTCTTAGGATGAGCTGGTACTACGGTACAGTGATGCCACAGTTAATCAGCTGATGTTTGGTCATTATTGAGCTCATCAGCATCAGCTAACAACCACATACTGTGGCAGTTTTCGTTGGGTTTACCGCGGTGCATCACTGTACGGTACGGTACTGCACACTGTAGACCTGTGACGCTGATCTGAGGCTGATATCGTCTCTCTGGGCTCTTGAAATCTGCGTGTGCTTTAACTCGTTTAGTTTGACTGATAATGCTGATGAGAAACGTGTGTAATGTCTAAGAACACGTGCGTTTTGTTTGTGAAGGAGCGATACTTCACGACCGATTCGGTGAGGTTTGGGCTCCAGAGGGCCGCGGGCCGTCAGCTTCCTCTAGAACAATCAGTGCACAGTAAATATCAAAATATCTGAGAGGGATACGAAGCACAACACTGTACATCTGAGCCATGTACAGTCACATTAGCTGGCCAACTACACCACAGCTCACCAATTATACTGCCATAAAAATCATATAAATAAATAGATCCTTAAAAAATTCAAGCATAGTATAAACAAAGCGAAATAAAAAAATCAGGTTGATTAAATATTTGACAACAACGATAAGGCTCACTTCACGTCTCAGGTGGAGATCTCGCTTCCGGCGCTACTCCTAAACATCACGCCTGCGCTAAACTAAACATGATCGAGGGAGAATGCAACCATCTCAGAAGATCTTTCTAGCGTTTGACGCGTGGCTGGAAATACTGGGGAATGAATCTCGCGATTCCTGTAGCATCAACGTGCATCGGCCCAATCATTTATCTATAAACCCAAAAAATCGTTCCGTCGTCCCACCATAAAGACACAGCGGAGTACATTATGCCACAGCAGAAAGCAAAAGAACATGATACAGATACGAGATTCAAGCCTCGAAAACACCCTCGGCCTCCAAACACGGTGTAAGCAGCATATAGTCATGTAGAGACACACCGAATACAGTATTCACAGAGTTCAGTCCGTCTCGTGCACAGCGTCCGAGGATCAGAGATTATATCACGTGTGCTAATGTACGGCGTTGGCTGCGGTCGCTCCGTTAGGCACAGAAGGTAGATCTGCTTCCGTTCTGCGGCGCCGACGCGTTTGTTTGGGATGGCAACGATGACTCTAGCAGGCACAGACGGGCTCGCGCTCATTCACGTCTGACGTTGGCAAATACAGTTCGAAGAAACTCCCACTGAGGGGTGCAGCAATTATCCAGGCTTTTGATTTCATAGTTTCTTTTTTTCCTCGTTGTTTTGCTTTAAATAGATTTTGTACATGTAATATTTTCCTGTTGTTATGAAGATCTTCATCCACAGTTTAATATTTCTAAAAAGCCGACCACAACATTAATATCAATATTTGAACACTGAGGTAAATGTTTGCGTTGTGACGCAGAGCGTCTCCTGGAGCTCCTGAGAGAACGTCTGCTCTGCGTCGCAGTCTGTGTGTGTTTCACGTGTCGTCGTCGTCGTCGGTCCTCTGCGGGTGTTTGTGGGGTTGTTGAGGGGGAAGGTGTTGGACAGGTTGGTGTTCTTCTTATGTTGCATAGTGATCAAAACTTCCGAGGTACTCCAGAGCGGCCTGATAGCTGAACTGATACTCGTCCTGAGAACAGACAGACAGACGGGAGGATGTGATCACTTAATAAAATAAATAATAACTTTTTCCATAACAGTATAAATCATAGCAAATCTTGTGGTGGTCCTGTGTCTGGTACTTTGGGTCTGAGGTGGGAAAATATGATTTACAGAAATCTCCCAGCATGAGATCCTCCAAAGACTCAGAGGTCAGTGATAACAGCGTTTGTCGGTCATGTGATGCGTGTTTTACCTCAGTCTGCACCATCGCCGGCCGTTGTGTGCGCAGCATTTTGACGGTCTGGAAGATGTCCACAGCGCCCTCGTAACGCATCCGCTCCAGGACGATACTGAGGGTGATGAAGACACCCGTACGCCCGACGCCCGCACTGAGAGAGAGACAAGAATGAAACAAGAACGAGACATGAATGAGACATGGATGACACAAGAATTAAATGAATGAGACATGGATGAGACATAGATGAGACAAGAATGAAACAAGAATGAGACAAGAATGAACGAGAAAAGGATAAGACAAGAATGAGAAATAAATGAGACATGAATAAGTCTGAGATTACATTGAGATCTGCTCCTCGCACACATCTCTAAACACTGAGTGTGAGGATCGTAACGCACCTGCAGTGGACTGCGATTGGTCCGTCCTGACCGAACTGCTCCTTGGTTTTATGCACCTGTCCAATGAAATCAATGAAACCCTCGCCTGACTTTGGAACTCCTTGTTCTGGCCAATCGGTGAACTGGAACTGTCTGACGGTTCTGGACTGTCCGTCCTGTGGAGAGAAAGACAATGAGTCAGAACATCTCCAGAAGTGAGAAACACCTGAGCCTGTAGAAACAGATCTGCCGGGACATTTGTGTCTCTGGTGTTTCTTCATGAAAGACTTCAAAATGAAGACTGACAGCTGTACCAGATCATACCGCGGTAAATGACTCACCCTGGCGTCGGTGACTTTGAACTCTCTCAGGATGTACTGTGGCATGTTGTATTCTGCCATGGGATCCACTACAAAGTACTGATAGCGTGCCGAGCGCTCGGCTGGCCAGTACTGGTGACACTTCTCCTGTGAGCACACAAACACACGGATGTTACCACTGCTTCAGTCAGATCCAGATGGAGCGTGTTTTCCTCCAGCCGTCACTCACCCGTCCCATCTCACGCAGTTTGGTCAGCATCACCACGATGGTGGAGTTGTGTTCCCACAGCGTGCGCCAGAAGTCCTCAGTGGTCTCCGCTAGCGGCCCCTGCGTCGCAATATACGCCCTCTGCTGCCTGGACACACATCATGAGATCGACACGTGACCACCAATGCTACTATCCACCGTGTTGGGGAAAGCTACTTTTAAAAGTAATGCATTACAATATTGC